CACCCCAAAAAGTAGGACTACTTGTGGTCAAATAAGTAGGTTCAGAACAGGGCTTGGGAAATCTGTCTAATTAACAAGCACCTCCCTCTCCCAGAGTGTTCTGATGCAGGTGGTCAGAGGGAGGAGCATTGACACGTGGGAAAGGCCAAGAAGCCAGGTCCCAGAGCACCCGGCCCCTTGCCTCCCATTGGCCTTCCTAGACGTCAGAGTGCAGAGGTTATTCCCCAGTGGTGTCAAACCCAGGGTGAGGAGCCAATGGCAGGTAGACTCTCCTGTGCTTACCTGTCTCCTGTGTAAGGGTGAGGGCAGTTACAGGAGACTCCTTCAGGGGACGAGATGCAAGTTCCACCTTCCAGGCAGGGTGTCAAAGTGCAGTTCTCCTTTCTTTGTTCACAGTGCTTCCCAGAGAACTGTGGGGTACACTTGCAGACATAGCCTGGGAGGAGGAGGATGAGAAGGGAGGTGGGAGAGTGCACTGGCTTAGCACTTAGGCAGCCCCGGCTGAGAGGCCCTCCAGGATGGAAGGGAGAGCTCAGCATGTCTGCAGATACATGTGTTCACATTTGTTTATTGAGTGCCAAACACCATGTTGGGCATTGGTGCCCTGCCTGATAAGAAGACTTGATCCCTGTCCTCAAACAACATACTGACCAGTAGAGAACAGCATTTAAGGAATAATGAGTAATGTCCTAGACAACACTTTTTCAGTGCTAGTCAATGTCCTAAGACCTTTGTGGATGAGCTCATTTGATCTTCATGACCACTCTGAGATTGGTTACTGTTATCATCCTCATCAGGGGACAGATACAAGTTGATGACAGGTGAGGGAATGAGGCACAGAGAACGTATGACATTTGGAAACGGTACTACAGCTAGTAAATGGCAAAATTGAGATTCAAACCTAGAAAGTTACATATACTATCAGTACATTATTAGTAATTATCACAAACATTAATTTTATTGAAGATAAGTGTTTTCCTGGAGGAGGTGATATTTCAGTTGAAACTTGAAGGATAAGTAAAAATTAGCCAGGCAAAAAGATAAAAGGGCAAAGAGGAAGGCATTTCAGGCAGAGGAGAATGTGTGCAAAGGCTTGGAGGAGAGAGTGTGGCAAGTGTCCGGAACTAAAACAGCACCGGGGTGGCAAGCCTGCTGCAAAATGGGGCAGCAGGAGCTGCAGGCCCAGGAGATGGGAGGGACCAGGGCATTGGTGATATGCGCCATCTGCAGGAATTAGGAATTGGGACTCTATCCAAACAGCAAGGGAAGCCACTGCAAGGTTCTAAGCAGGAAAGCTCGATCTACTCTACGCTGTATAAAGATCACTCTGGCGCCCCTCCCAGAAGGTGCAGGTGNCCTCCCACCTCGCAGTCAGCATAAGACGGCCCTGCCCGGCTGAGGCGCATACTCACGCCCTTGTAGCCCCCCTCTGCCTGGCAGGGCCCTCCCCCGCCCTGCCGGAACTGGGAGTGGTAGTAGCTGATAGCTGTGTACTCATTGAGACAGGGGGCCAGCAGGCGCTCCCGGGGACTGGGAGGTCGTGGGGGCATCAGATCTTCCAGGTTCTGGTTGCTATAACGGGGTGGGAGGGGCGCCCGCTTGTTCTCCAGCTGCAGTGGGAAGGGGAACCCCTCGTAGAGGCCATTGGGTTCCGGCATCACAGCTGGGGTCTGATGGTGGTGAGGTGAGGACGGCAGAGGGCCCTGGGTCACTTCAGAGTGGGGGTATTCCCAGCGTTCCTTCCTGGAGTAAGTCGGGGGCCAGACAGTGACTCTACCTGGGTACACTGAAAGAGAACAGCAAGATAGGGTGAGCGTTGAATTTCCCTGATGAAGGTTCCAGCTGGCCTGATAGCTACTATCTATGACTTAGCGTGTGGTGGAGACAACCCAAGAAGAGGGCGGGTATGTGGTCCATCTATGTGTGGTGTCTCTGGCAGCTTAGGTTGCTATCTAGAATCCAGTGGGGCCAAGTTTAAGGCCAGAGGTTTAACCCAAAGCCAGCTCATCTTGCAAATCTGTGCCACTGATCAAAGGATCCATGAACAAGGGGAGAATATGGATGGCACCACGCAGCCCACCCCAAGTCATGGGGACAGCATCTTCATCTCAAGTCTTACTGGTGGGTTTCATCTCATTAATTGAAGGAAACAGACACATGGTTCGGAGTATGTGTGATGGCGTATATCACAGAGGGTGATTAAATGAAATGTGTCTTGGAAGATTGGAGACCCGTCATCTTTGGTCCCGCTGTGTCCCTGCTACTAAATAGTTGGGTGAGTTAGAACAAGTGACTGCGTCTTTATGGGCCCTAGCTACCCTATTGGCAAAAAGTTAATGAAAATACAGTAAAACCTTGGATTGAGAGCACTTGGTTTGCGAGTGTCCCACAAGACGAGCAAACATTTCTAATACATTTTAACTTGGTAAACGAGCAATGTCTTATAATATGAGTAGTTTGTTTCTGGAACTAATCATGCTCGCAAACCAAGGTATTACTGTTCCTGTTTTAACTAGTGGTGAATATGGCAGAAAATATAAAGTTCTTACATAGTGACCTCCTTTTGAGCCAAAGATGAGAGGGAGGTGAAGGTCCCTCCTCTCAGCTAGCCAGGTCTGACCCCAAATTGCTGCACCTCCAGATTGGGTGACCGGAAGCTTGGACTACTGCTTTTCTTGCCCTTCGCAGAAGAGCACAGATGTGCAGAAGCCCCCTTTTCCCCGCAGGAATCCTACTTATCCCTGTCCAGGCTATATAGGTACATGTGGACATCAAAACTATGGAGTGACTTGGAATTTGGGGCAGTGAATAGTGATACAGAGGCTCTGAGGCCTGGCATCTGTTCTAGTCCACAAGGGCACTGTGACCTTGAACACATCCTTTCACATCCCATACCAAGCAAGGCACTGGACTGAATAGTGGCCCAAATCCCTTACACCTCAGATAATGAAGTGTTTAGGTCTACCACCCCCTTCCATCAGTCCCCCGGGGTCTCTGGATATACTGACCCATCTCCTCGCCTGACCAGGTCCTCTTAATGATGGACTCATTGTCAGAGCGGGAAGGAACCGCAGCCGGAGGGAGTCTGGGAGGTACACTGCAGACCACTGGCTGCTGCTTCGAGCTGGGTCCAAAAGTGACGAGTTCATTCGGAACTGAGGTCTTGCTAGGCTCCAGTTGGTTCAGATTATTGCAGGAGCTGGTGCTCAGGGGGTTGAGTTCAATGGCAGGCATAGCTTGAGTGTCAACACCAACACTCCTGGCCAAGAGGTCCGGGTCTTCCATGGCCACGGGCTTGTGAGACTTGCAACGGCGGCAGTAGAAGAGAAGCCCTACAATGCTGACGATGGTGAAAAGTAGGACCACGATGATGATCAGGATCTCCTGCTGCCCCCAGTCGCCCTTTTTGATCTCAGGGGTGATGAGGCAGTGTCCTTCTGAGCAGCCCCTTGCTTCCATTTCACACCTGCAGAGACAGAGATGTAGGCAGAGGGCCGAGTTACTATATTGCCTGATCCACGTCCCCTCTTACAAAGATCTGTGGGGTGGGGACCCCTGCACTCAAGCCTGTCCTCTCCAATTTTCACTGAAATGATATCAACATATCAACTTCAGAACTTTCCAT